TACAATTACTACTCATTTTAAACTACAGCATAACCACCATTATGTATTTAATAAATAGAGCCTCTCAGCTGTGAGTATGTTATAATGTGACAGTCAATCCAACTCTTCATTCATAAAAAGAAGCCCAAAAATTATTGGTGGGTGTTGTTGACTAGCAACCTTCCCTCTAATCTATCACTTCTAAATTATGGACAGCAAGTGCAAATAGCCTTTAAGTAGCTTATTATAAATTTCAGTAAAACATACAAATTATTTTAAAAACTTAAAGTATTTAAATCATAAACTGGTGATCTTATGTTTAAGTTTTTTGTTTAGGTTACAGGGTTGAGTATGTTATATTTAGATAGTTTTGTAAATATGAATCAGCAATTTACATGGCAGCCACAGCAGATATAAAGTTATGGTGAAACAACATGTATCAGAACTACATTTGGCATTGTTTCGCTTTCATAGATATTGTGGTGCCACCAAAAATTATCCATTTTGAGAAGAGTATATAATAACTTTCTGAAGTAAAATATTCTTGCATTAAAATCATAAAGATGTGATTGATCAGATTGAGGATTCAGAATAACTTTCATACTTAATGGCATTGAAAAATAAAGGAGTATTGATGAAAATGAGACTATTAGGAATTTCTGTTGAATCATGCTGTAGAAATGGGTGTTGAGAAATTGTAAACTTAATACACTAGATGAATTACACAAGGCCTGTAAGTGGTTGTGGTATGCCTTGGACATCACAGTCTTATGATGGAGCCTTTTGCAGTAGAAACTAGGCTTCAGGTTTATTGTTTTAGTATAATGTATTGAACCTACTGTATAATAAAATTTGACTTTTTTTTTTAGTTTAACTCTCTCAACATGGGCTTGGTCAATTTGACTGACCACGTGACCTCTTTGTGCTCATCTAAAGTCTTTATATATTTGATCCTTCTAACTTTCAATATAGTGTGTATATCTTCACAAAGTTTGGCAGTCTTTCAGTCAACATTGTAAGTCTTTCACATACCAAAAATCACATTTTTCGATAAAGTATTTTTCATAAACTAATATACAGATTTGTCCATGAATATATTGAGTATTTGTTTTGAATATTCCATGTGCAAAGTGATTTTCATGTTAAGGTTAAAAATACTTTTCTCATCTCAAAAATCTCAGATTTGATTTGTGTAATCTCTGAAACCTGCTAAATACATTTCAAATGTTTATTTTCAGTAAAACTTTATATTTTATCTGCAATTTCCTCTACCCAAACTCTATACAAGGTTGGTCAATTTGACTGACTTCATAACCACCAAAAAAAAATCTAAATAAATCAAAATTACCCTTTTTGTCTTTCTAGAATGGCTTCAAATTGTAACATGAAACTACATTTGTTTATCCTAAGTAGCTTTAAACTTGTAACAGTATACATCTATTTATAATAAGATTTTATTGTTTTATTGCCCTTTTGATTGCTCTTTCAACCATGTCTAACAACTCTTTGCACCATTATAAGTTGTAAATAACTGGGGTATGTGCAGCTCACTTTATGCTATCCAATTACATTACTGACAAGCTGCTAGTGTGCATCCTTCATTAAACATTATTATATTATTATTTATTTTACCTAATCTTAACTAACCTAAAAAGATCCCTGTTTTTACATTTTAGTTACTTTTATAATAATAAATAAATAAAGAATAAACATGAAAAACAAGAAATAAAGTACTTACCCAATCTTCCTCTTTCTTGCTCTCGATTGTTGATAACACTTAACCAGACTTTTTTTTTATATACTGCAGATTAGAAGCACATCAAAAGTGTTAATTATAATTAACTCTCTTTTTATACATTTAGTATATCACTATTGAACTACAAATCTATATATTCAAGGTCTTCTTAGCTGACAAAATTATAAGTGTTTAAATCTGCACAATGTTCTTACTGGGTTGATAGTCACACATTAGTTTAACCCTTTCAAGACAGGTCATAGGTGAAAGGCCATGTCATCTCGTTTGTTGACTCACATTCAAAATTTTATTGAACTACTATTTCATGAATTTATGTAAATAAATTTGGTATCGAACTGTAGATTATAATTCAAATTTTAGTATTATACGTTACTCAATTTCTTAGTTTAAAAGTAAATATTAAAAAAACCACAGATAATCATAATTTTTGTTTGTCACATGGTATGTTGAATGCAATACTGATTCAAATTAGATGTTTGTGAAGTCAAAATACTAAGTCTATAGTTTCATAGAAATTAGAAACTCAAATTACCGATATTGACAAGTTAGAATTTAAAATAAGAAGGTCTTATCTTTTCTATTTGCTAATATATTGCTCATGTAATAAATCACAGTGGCACTCCACCCACCTCTTCCATTTTTGGAAATGCTCCTTTATATACACTTACTTCTATATATGACATGAATAACCAATTGAAAGCTCAAAATGTTCCCCTAGTGGCTTTTTCAGCTTTCTCCAAATATATATTGATATATTATAATTAAGTTCTGTGGTATTGATATAGTAATTTATGATTTAAAATCTACAAATAAAATTTTGTTTCATATCCTCCACTTGCAAAATTTTAAAAGGCTTGGCAACCTACATCAAGCAGCAACTGAGTAAAAAGGTCGTAACTAGAAGAGATAAGTGTTTGCTTTACTTCTTTAGTTACTGTTCTATGTTTTTTAGAAAAATAAGTTTAAGAAC